GGTTACCAGAACCCAGCGCGATGACCGGCCCCAGGCGCAGCGCCTGCGTACAGCGGCCGCCTAGCTCCCCAGCGGCAGGGCCACAACCAAGATCTGGAAGGATTATTCAGCTCCCGAGCCTGGGACTGAGGATGGAGTAAAGCAACTAAGTATATCGCCTGCTAGCGTGCATCTCGGCCCGCCCCGCGCCGAGCCCGGAGCCCGCCCCGCGCGGGGGCCCAGAGGACGCGAGCATCTATCTCCCCGCCCGGCCGGCCCGGCCCATCCCACCCCCGCCCCTTCCCAGAGAGGACCGGCCCGCCGCGACCCCCGGCCCTCCCGGAGCGGGCGCGCCGGGCGAGGCCGCGGGCGGCGGGCGGGCGCCCGGTACTCACCTCCGGCAGGCGGCGTGCGGCCAGCTGTCTCCAGGAGGCGGCGAAGTCGGGCGACGGGGCTCGCGGGCTCCGGCAGACCACGGAGAACACGGTCCCCAGCAGGAAGGCGGCCGCGGCGCAGCCCAGGTACAGGCTGAGCCTGAGGAGCACCGTGCCCGGCCCCGCGCCTCCCGCCGCTGCCGGCCAGCAGCCGGCCAGCAGGCAGGAAGCGCACACGGCGGCGAGGGCGGCCTTCCAGCTCAGGTGATCTCTTAATCCTCGGCCCGCTCATCTCTCGACAAGTAACCTCCCCGTCGGTGGGGGTTTAACAGCCCTTCCTTCAAAATTTCTGCCTCCTTTGCACCTGCTGTTTGAATAGGCAACTTCTTGATCCTCACTTTTAACCCAGTCCCCCTGATAACCTTCCCTTTTTCCCACCCAGCCGCCTCCGGGACGGAGCCAAGACAAACAGGGAGCAGTAAATGCTGCCTGCAAAATTCCTAGGTACAGAGAGGGGACGTCCCCCCAAAAAGTCTGCCTGGCGCCAGGGGGCGTGCACAGCTGCCATCCTCACTGGGCTCCAACTCCCTGTATTTTTGTCGCCAACGATCCAGTACAAATGCCAGTGCCCGCACGCAAGTGAAAGTGCTCCAAGTAATTTTGAGAATACATATTTTCTTCTCGTACCAAGGTCCCCGCGTTAATATACACATAATGCTTACTGAGAAGAAACCAATATGCTAAACACTAGAAATTACTAAGATCAACAAAACAGCAGATGTATCTTTAATGAATAAAGGAATTCTAAGGGAGATGAAGGAATTGGAAAGAGATTAATGCTTACTTAAAAGGGGGTGATAGAATAGGGCAAATCAAAAATAGAAAGGGGAAGAAAAGGAAGGGGGTAAATAGATGAGGGATGCCATGGAGGATGTGGGAGACAGACATCAAAAAGCAAAATCGTTTAAAAGCACTAGAGTTTTCCAACAGATTGAGTTACAGCCTGCTTCCTAGGAAATAGAGTTAAGTAAGCATTAAAATATATTTTCAAATACTGTGACTGTACTGTGCTTTTCTATAAGGAATCTCCATCGTTTCAACTGAGAAAAAAAATGCAACATTCATACAAAGTAAACTAGTGGGTATTTTATTATTTTATTTTTTTAACTATTAAAATATTTATTTGGCTGTGCCCGGTCTTCATTGCTACATGTGGGATCTCCAGCTGCGGTATTTGGGATCCAGCTTGCAACCAGGTGATCAAACCCAGGCTCCCTGAATTAGGGACGCAGTCTTGGTCACTGGATCACCAGGGAACTCCCTGTTTATTCTTTTAAAGCAAAGTATTATCCAAGAGGTTATCATTCAAATGAAAAAATACCAGTGTCCATAGACATACAAAGGCCACCCATGTATTAATGTTTTTGTAATAAATTTCCCTGGAATGGCATGGATTTCAAGTGGGAGATGAAGTAGGAGGCAAAAAAAAATTATCCCTAATGTTAAGCTCTAATAAAACAGTACAGAGATGAATTATTTTATATAATCTATATAAAAAAATATGTTCACATTTGTCATTTTTAAAAAGCTGATTGTTTTAAATATTAGTATTCATGGACCACTTTATTCTTATTCCTTGTAAGTCAAAGACAAGGAGATAATGAGTGCCTTAGGCCAGATGTGACTTTGCCATGCCTAGGTGATGACAGGGGATGACTTCAAAAGTAGTTACTACCTTCCTGTCCTCCTTGTCTTCTCTTTTTTATTTTTAAATAAAGCAGTGTAACTGATCTTGACGGAGCCCTTTTGCCATAAAATAGTTAATGTTCATCCCACTAGGGGCCCTCAAAGTGTACCCTACAATTCCAAATTATTTCAAATAAAACATGGTAGCTTGATATTACCAACAGTAAGATCCATATTTTTTGGATCCTTTACATGCAGGGGACAGCATGCTGAGCGCTTTACATACTTTATATATATATATTTAAGATTTTCCAAAATATGGGTTTACTGCAGTTGACAATAATAGTAACTGAGCACTAACTGTGTCAAATACTGTTCTAAGCATTAGACATGCTTCATTTGATCTTCACAATCACCCCTGAATGTAATCTCCATCTATCCAGTGAGGAAACTGAGGTACAGAAGGCAAGATAACTTGCTCAACTGTTATAGAGTTATCAGACTTTGGATTTATCACCCACTGGCTCTGGCTCTTAAGTCTTGTGCATTTAAGCACTAAGTCATGGTACTTTCTAAAAACTCTATCTCATTTAGTCATCCCATATGACAAATGAGAAAAAACAGGGTTTAAATCCATGAGCTTAGTCCCTGTATTCCATGCTTTTGTAAGTGTTTAGTTTTGTTGCTTTTTGAGTATGGCTGGTTATTTTAGCCAGCCACCTGACAAGTGCAAAGTGATTTATAGTAATCACTAAAGTTGGTAAAATCGTATAATCAATAAAGAGGAAACTGTCTTACACTTATTGAGCACCCTGGTCTTTGATCTTTCCAGCACACTATATATTGTTCCCAAGGATGAGATCTGGAGAAATGTACACTGGTGGTCAGAAAACTGCCTTAAAGCAAATGTCATATTGCTTCGAAGTCAGCACTGACAATTCAAACATTTACTTAAAAGTAGTAGTTTGGTTTCTACCCTGTGCAAGGTTTGAGGAACACTGGTGGGAAGATATACAAGGGAGTGCCTGAGATCAGGAGGTATTGAGAGAGATGTCAGGTATTAAATTAGAATCCAGGTGTTCCTTCCTGGAAGTCAGTGCTGAGTCCTACCAGGTCTAAGTTAAGACCAAATTAAGTAGAGATGCCTTATTTATTATATTCCTTATGGCCAGCACATTCTGACAGGTTTGTATTAAACACTCCATGGGCTATCTTCATTCTCTTTGGTAAGCTGGGAATGGTGTCTGTTGGGATTCTATAATTCATTGGGATACGATAATCATAAATTAAGTGAAAATTTGACATTTAAAGTATTAGAGTGTAATATACAACACCCAATCTCTGTTGATTATATGTAATGAATCTTCCCCTTCACTGTTTAGTATGTGTGCTAGCTGCTCGGTCATGTCCAACTCTGAAACCCCATGAACTGTTGCCAGCTAGCTTCCTCTGTCCATGGAATTCTCCAGGCAAGAATACTGGAGTGGGTTGCCATTTCCTTCTCCAGGGGATCTTTCCAACCCAGGGATATGAACCCGGGTCTCCTGCATTGCAGGCAGACACTTTACCTACCGTCTGAGCTACTAGGGCAGCCCATTCACTATTTCGTATACTTCTCCTTAAAGCCCCTGGCTCTCCTTAAAGGTAGTCATAGGGTTAGAGAGAAAAGCACTGTATTTGCCTTTGCCCACTTTGGGTAAAATTATGTTTAGGTATTAACATGAATCAAAATACCTAGATATCACTATAGTTTCTTCTGCTGATTCCCTCCAAGAACATAACAGGTCTGTTAACCTAACTCTCTCTCATAAACCTTCAAGCAGAATGTAGTTTACTGAAAATACGGTAGTAAGTGTGGCCAAACTTCAAAAGGAGAAGTGAAAAAATTATAAAACACTTTAAAAACAAATAGTAGATTACTAAAGCTTAAAGGAAACATACTACAGCATTTGGAAGAGGAAAACTAATCTGTGAACAAAATTATAGGACATTGATATATAAATTATGCTAAGTGGGCCTCCTCAAGTAAAAATACTCATGTTGGGAAACTTTCAGGCAGAAGTGTCTTTGTATTAATCTTCAAAGAGAATTACAAAGCAAAGTACTGTACACTGAATTAGCTGGTATCAAGACAAAGTATTGACAAGGGTAGATCCCCCAAAGAGAAAAATTTCAATTTATCCAAGTTTTGACCTGAAACTAAGGGAAATAGAGTATGTCAATTATCTACTGTCACACAACTACCACCAAATAACAACCACTGGATATGCTTATGATTTTGCAGGTCAGCCAATGGGCTGGGGTCAGTTGGGTCAGTTCTCCTCTTCTTGCCTGAGCCACTAATGATGCTGTGATCTCCTCTCTGGCTCTGGAGCCTCCATTAACATGGCTTGTCTCTGCTCCCTGAGTTCTCATCCTTCAAGAGATTGCTTGGGTCTTTCACATGACCATGTCAGAGATGTGATATACAAGTTCTTTTTAAGCTTTTGCTTGTGTTACATTTGTTAACATTTCATTGGCCAAAGCAAATCATATTGGCCCAATCAGGAATTAAATAAGAGGGGGCCTACATACATGTGTCCTCAGCTTTGTCCCTCTTCGGAACCAATGAATTACATCTCTCCATGTTTAAATCCATGTGAAGGCACCCTCCCAGGTGGCCCAGCAGTAAAGAATCTGCTCCCAATGCAGGAGATTTGGGTGCAGTCCCTGGGTGGGGAAGACCCCCTGGAGGAGGGCATGGCAACCCACTCCAGTATTCCTGCCTGGAGAATCCCACTGCCTGGGGAGGCTCAGAGGCCACAGTCCATAGGGTTTCAAAGAATCAGACACGACTGAAGCGACTGGGCATGCACAATATGGCTTGCCAGGCGTTCCTTTCTCTACACTTCCATGTAAAAAATATTGGGTACCTATTGTATTAATGTCCTATTGCTGCTATAACAAATTACTACAAACTTAGTGGTTTAAAACAACATGAATTTATTATCTTACTGTTCTGGGGGTCAAAAGTCTAAAATTAAGGTAGGACCTGGGCTGCTATTCTTCTGGAGGCTTCAAGGGGAGAATCCTTTTTCTTCTCTTTGTCAGTTTCCAGTGCATGACAGGTTGCTTCAGTAGTGGCGGACTCATGGCGACCCTATGACTGTAGCCTGCCAGGCTCCTCTGTCCATGGGGCATCTCCAGCTTCTATGAAATATACAGCAGGGTATTAACTATAGTCAACATGGTGTATATTATAAGCTCTTGCTTCCATGGCCATTTTTTTTTTTTTCTCTTTTTTTTGTGCCCCCATCTCTTGTGTCTCCGCTTTTATGGAGCCTTTTGATTACATTGAGATCACATGGGATAACCTAGGTTGATGTTCCCACCTGAAGATCCTTAATCACAGAGCAGTCCACGTTGCTTTATATTCACAGGTTTGGGATTAACAGACTGGCATCTGTGGGTGCCATTGCTCTGTCGCACCTACTATGTGCTTGCGAGTTCAAACACGAAAAAGGGCTGCATTCAATATAGTGGACGGAGATCATTTTTCCCAGATTGTTTGAACTACCCATCTCATTTACCAGTAGTCAGAGGACTTTCTCACATGTTTACCAGCCCATGGCCCACAGGGCTGTTTAAACTGAACGTTGCTGATATAAGCATATTTATATCAGCTGCCTCCATATTTATTATTACTGTCGCTGTTTGGGTACAACATTACAAGACCATCAAAGCAGCTTTCCTCGTTAACAGCGGAGGCTGCAGCAGTTAACACCTTGGCGGTGCAGGGCACAGCCGAGGGTCCGGAGGTCACTTTCTTCCCGCGTCCCTTCCCATCCGAGAGGGGGCCCGCTGGCCAGGCCCGGCGCCCCGCGCGCGTCCCGGAGCGGGGCGGGCCCGCCGCGCTCTGTGACGCCCGCCGCGAGGAGCCTCCGACACCGCCCGCTTCCCGCGGGACCAGCGGCGCGGCCCCAGGCGACGTCCTTTCCCGTTCCGCTCTCTCCGCCTCCGGAAGCTCGGGCGGCCGCCGGGGCGGCGTGGAGGGGCTGCGGGAGCGCGCGCGCGGACGCACGGCAGGGACGCCGGCGGCGCGAGGAGGCTGCGACGCCGGGTGAGCTGCGCGCGGGTGACCCTTTCTCCGCGCCCCCCGCCCCCCGTTCGGGATCCGTTTCCCCTCTCCGGGGTCCAGGCCGCGGCGGGCGCTCAGGGTCGGTATGCGGAAGGCGGACCGGTCGGGCCGCGCCCCCCCAGCCCTCCGGGCCCCGCCGCCTCTGCGGCCGGGGCAGCCCGTTGGCAGGCGGGTCTAACCCACGCGGAGGCGTCCGGGGCCAGCGCGATCTCAGGGCCAGCGCCCCTCGTCGGCCGCGCTGGGATGGCCGGGCCTGACCTCGGGGCGCGTTCGCGGGTGGCGTGGAGTCGGGGTCGGCCGTGAACTAAGACGTGATCCCCTCCCCCGCCCCCGCCCCGGGACATCCTGGCTCAGGTCGCCCCCGCCCACCTCCGCGGAACTTGACCCTGAACCCAGAGGAGGGAGGGGGATGTCAGTTATCCGCTACCTCGTGCGGTCCGGAGGGGGTCGTGTAAGGAACCTCAGATCCTGGAAGACAGGTGTTTCCTTTGGACTGAGATTTTCGGGTATCCAATAGGTTACCGTCTTTGGACCAAATCATATGTCTTACCTATAGACACGTCATGTCACAGTATCTAAAATGACAGTTAAAAATGCCGGATTCCTCGTTGTGTGTTTTCCTGATGTAAGGTGAAAGCGTTAGTATTTGTGTTGCCGGTTCTGCAAGGATTCTACGAATGATGGGTGTCTAAATGACTCCTGGGCAGCTTTGGCAAGTACTTGTCCTCGTTGAGTACCAGCAGGGTTATTGCAGTCTGATGAACTGTCATTTGATTTTTACGCTTTCCCAGTATTTTTTAGAGAAACTTTACTATCTTATTAAGTCCATATTTTTATTACTCTTTAATGTAAATTGAATCTCACTAACTGAAGATTGTCAAAAGGATTGCTTAGTGATTGGGACAGTTGGATATTTTTTCTGTTTGTTAAGTCACCTGAATGTTTCAGTTCAGTTGCTCAGTCATATCCCGACTCTTTGCGACCCCATGGACTGCAGCACGCCGGGCCTCTGTGTCCATCACCAGCTCCGCAAGCTTACTCAAACTCATGTCCATCGAGTTGCTGATGCCATCCAACCATCTCATCCTCTGTCCTCCCCTTCTCCTCCTGCCTTCAATCTTTCCCAGCATCAGGGTCTTTTCTAATGAGTCAGTTCTTTGCATCAGGTGGCCAAAGGATTGGAGTTTCAGCTTCAGCATCAGTCCTTCCAATGAATATTCAGGATTGATTTCCTTTAGGATGGACTGGTTGGATCTCCTGGCAGTCCAAGGGACTCTCAAAGAATCTTCAACTCCACAGTTCGAAAGCATCAATTTTTTTGGCACTCAGCTTTCTTTATAGTTCAACTCTCACATCCATACATGACTACTGAAAAAACCTGAATGTTTAGGTCCTTACAATAACCCATCTGTTGGATGTTAGGAACCTAAATCTAAGCCTGAAAAGTCTCCCAGACACTGATCTCTGCACCCCTTCTCATGAACTGTGACCATTTAGGGAGACAGATGTTTACAATTGTTGGGGACTACAGGAACCTTGTGGGGCTTCCCTGGTGGTTCAGGTGGTAAAGAATCCATCTGCAGCGCAGGAGACCTGAGTTCGATCCTTGGGTTGGGAGGATCCCCTGGGTTGGGAGGATCCCCTGGAGAAGGGAATGTCTACCCACTCCAGTATTCTTGCCTGGAGAATTCCGTGGACAGAGGAGCCTGACGGACTTCCGTCCGTGGGGTCACAAAGAGTCAGACACGACTGAGTGACTTTCAGACTCACAGGGATCTTGTGAATGCAAATATGGGGATAGTTGCTTCTAGTGTGTGGGGTAGGAAGGGAATGAAGGACAGCTATGGAAAACTATCTGGGAAAAAAAATCAGGTGAAAGAGGTGATTTTTCTGCTTACGTAGCTGGCTGTGCTCAGTTGTGTCCGACTTTCCAACCCTACGGACTGTAGCCTACCAGGCTCCTCTTTTCATGGAATTTTCCAGACAAAAATACTGGAGCAGGTTGTCATTTCCTCCTCCAAGGGGATCTTCCCGACCCAGGGATTGAACCTATGTCTCCAGTGTCCCCTGCATTGGCAGGCAGATTCTGTAATACTGTACAACCTGAAGCCCTGCATAGCTGGCTCAATCTTAAATCTCCTAACTCCAAACTCCTTCATCATAGAAACATTCTTTGAATATCTAGTATTTGTCAAGTCTGACTTTAGGCGCTAGGATAGAAAGATGAGCAAGGTACCAGGAGTTCCCAGTTTGCTAAGACAGGGAAGGTGGGAAATAGCTAAGAAAAACGGATTTCAAAGAAGTATCTGTAGTCATTTGGCTTAGAGATAGACTTTGGGATTTAGACCTAGCTCATATTAGGGTTGGGAAAGGTCATATCCTCCAGACACACAGATTTCCTCTGCAGTACCCCAGCAAATAGCCATCAAGTCTTTGCTTCAACTGTATCTACTGACTTTTGGCTAGATGACTTATGGCTCATAATCCTTGAAGGGGATGCATTCCATTTTGGAGCAATTCTAATGTTAAACTCAGAACAGCTTTCTTATGCATTCTATCTGTTGATGCAAGTTCTGCCTCTGGAGCTGCAAATAATAGCTCTCAAGTCTCTTTCATATCACTACTCTTCAAGTATCTGAACACACCCTTTCCCTTAGTTATTTCTTTTATTTCTGTGAGCCCTTGGTTGGTAAACCATTAATCATAACTCAGGTTCTAGACTTTTTGCCAAAAGGTGGTTTGACCAAGCAGAATATGATGCAAGTTGTATGTTGCTACACTGGGTTTATCACTCTCCTTGCCAGAAATACCTGGGAAACTCATTACTGTCTTTGGAAAGGTGGTTTGATCACAAGTTCAGTTTGGGATAGAGAGTCACAAGTCAGTTCAAAGTTCTGAATTCTTATTACCTAGGTTAACACTTAAATTTACCTAAGGTTACTGGTTTATTCAGTTTGTGATGCCAGTGAGATTTGTTCCAGATTATTTTGGTAGAGGAAAACTGCTGGACAACAAATATATCCAGCAAAATGCGTGGTAAACACTAGCATGTGTATCTAATTTTCACTGGGCAGGCCATTGTTTTTTGCAAAGAACTGTTTCTAAAGCCATATTGCTAAACAAGTCCCATTTTCTCTTAAAACTCCCTACCACAGGAGGGGTTATTTTACTATCTTGGCCCCTGTTAACTGTCAAATAAATCATTGATATCACAACAATGTGTTTAAAATTCAAAGAGGGAAGGTCTCAGTTTTTTTCTTTCCATAAGGCTAGGACCATATTTCTAAAGCAGAGTAGAACAGTGGTTAGTCACATGATCCTCAAAGCTGCCCACTTTAGAATCCTGGCAGGCCACTTAACTAGCTATGTGGCTTCAGGCAAGTTCCCACTTACCAGAGGTGACAGATTATCTTAAAAGCTGTTGTCAAGAGTCAGTGAGTTAGTACTTCTTATGTACTTGGAACAATCAACCCTGAATATTCATTAGAAGGACTGATGCTGAAGCTCCAATACTTTGGCCACCTGATGTGAAGAGACTCATTGGAAAAGATGAGGGCAGGAGAAGAAGGGGACGACAGAGGATGAGATGGTGGGATGGCATCACCGATTCAATGCACACGAGTTTAAGCAAACTCTGAGAAACAGTAAAGGACAGGGAAGCCTGGTGTGGTACAGTCCATGGGGTCACAAAGAGTTGGATGTGACTTAGCAACTGGACAACAACAACATATAAGTACTCAATATGTTTTAACTATTAGTAGTAGTAGGATAACAACACTAATACAAATGAGACTTAGCTTAGTAATTTTATTTCCTGAAAAATGTAAGCAAGTTTTGCAGAGGGACAGAAGTTGGAATAATTTGGATGATTTGTTTTTTTAAAACATTTGTGTTTTAAACTGGCTAAGAAAATTAGCTCTGGGCTGTGCAATGAAACTGATTTTAGAATTTGAAGAAACTTTTCAGTCCTTAAAGTCATTCTTAACCGTGGGAAAAAACAGTTACCACTCACTCCCCTTTTATTCCTTGACGTTTTAAAGTGTGGATTATCTTACAAAAAAGGATAGCTTTGGGGAGACTTTAATGACTATTAATAAGTGCTGTCCATTGTTCAATAGCTTATTTGATTTGCTGTTTTTCTTTTTGAACTCAGGTGGGCAGAATTAGATTGATAACGATCAGTCATACCTTTTTATACTTGTGATGACCCATGATCACAGAAAACCGGTTCTTAATTCTTCCCCTTTATCCCCTTTCCCCGCTTCATTCCTCCTCCCTCCCTTTATAGGCTCATACTCTTGGATATTTAATGCATGTCCTCCCGGGCCAGGCTGGTAGAATTTTATGTATATGTTTGTCTGCTTGAAGAGTTTAGTGATGTTTGGTTTGTGTGTGTGTGTTAAGTTTTTCATGATTATATTGTCATTCATTTAATTCCGCTGACTTGGTAGACATGATTTTTGTGGCTCTCGGCTCATTATTTTTGACTGATACACAGTATATAATATAAAACATTTCTCTTCTCTGTTTTCCTCCGACTGGACATTGAGTTTTTCCCTCAGTCAGCACTGTTGCAGACAGGCCTGTGATGCACTTTTTCTCTATGTGCCCAGGAACACACGACTGAGAAGCAGCAATACCAAGTTTTGAGCCTGAGTATCTGACCCAGTTGGTTCTTTCTCACTGTGCAGACTTTCTGTCAATCACTTCCTTGCTTAGTTTGTTACATGAACACTATCACAATAACAATAATGAAAATTTTAAAAATGCAGTGGGATTGATGATTTTTCAACTCATTTTTTGTCCAAATGTCTAAATTGTATTATTAATCCAGTATAGATAACAATTTTGTATTAATGCATTTTTCACACTGATAATAGCCCCAACATCAGGGGGCCACAAAGGGTCCGTGGGTAAACATTTTAGGCTGTGTGGGTGCTGTAGTATCTGTCACAGCTACTTAACTCTGCAGATACAGTGGGAAAGCTGTCAGAGACAGTTCTTCAACCTGTGAGTGGGGCTGTGTTCCAATAAAACTTTATTTACCAAACAAGTGGTGGGCCAGATTTAGCCCATTCACAGTAGTTTGCTGACCTGTGATTTAAATAACGATTTTAATGACTGAAAATATTCCTCTATTCAAGTTTTTTTTTCAGTATTAAAAGTAATGCTCTGATTGTACATTCATAGCCACTAACCATCAAGGAAATGATCTTTCCCTAAGACTGAACCTCAGAAAAGTGGAGAAGGGAATAACTGGCTTTAAGACTGTGAGCCTGAAGCTGTGACCTGTGACTATCACATGGGTTAAGCAAAAACACCGTAATCTATGGATGCCACATAAGGGAACGACAAAAAGTTTAAGAACTTAAGAGCAGTAGCTGAGACTGTTGCTAATGCCTTAGATTTTGATCACATCTCTAATCTTTTAAACTGAGTCTGATTGAAAACTGCCCGCTCCAAATGGAGTCCTGACTGCTGGGCCATCCCACCAAACTGGGGCTTTCATAACTAACCTTGAAGTTTCAGCTTCCCCCGGAAATGTGAGTCTTTAACCGGCCAGTCTACCAGAATGATGTCTGTTTGGGCTGGCTTAGTATTCTAAACTCTAGCTGTACTTAATTTATAGAAGTCAGTTTTTCCTTGGCATTCACCCACATATCTGCATTTGTGATATGCTTGTCTTGATGATCTCTTATTATTGTTCAGATCATTGGTGCAACTTGATTATTACCCCTGTAGCCCCCATTATCATTTCACTGAGTTACTGTTTTTATGGTAGGGTTTTTTTGTGTGTGGTGTTTTTTTTTTTTTTGTCTCATATTTCTCTTTATATACTACCCAGACTTCTCAGTTTGGGAAAGTTTGCAATTACTGTATAAAAATAAAAAGAATAATTTGGAAATTACTCTTAGTCTGATGGTTACACTTTCCTCCTTTTCAGATCTATTTTTTGCCGGCATGGATCGGTTTGACGATATATCAGAAGGTGAAGTGGACCATTCTTTCTTTGACAGTGACTTTGAAGAAGCAAAGAAAGGTGAGAGTAGCTCAGTGTTTGACAAGCAAGATGATGATGCTGAAGAGAGAATAGACAAAGATACAGAAAATGTAAACTTGCAACTTGGACTACAAAGAAAGGAAGATGATGTTACTGAGAAGGAAACTGAGAGCAATGGGAAAACTCCTCCAGAGGAGCACCCTGCAGAAGATGGTAATGCGCAAGCTGGAAATTCTTCATCCTCGACCACTTCTTCAAGATCAAAACTGTGTGATGTTCGAGTAGAACGTAAAATACGCTTGCCCACTCCAAATAGCCTTCCGCAAACTGTAAAAGGCGGTGAGCACGACTACTATACAGACGGAGAGGAAAGCACTGATGATGAGAAAAAGCATCATGTCAGGTCCAAGTCAGCTAAGCTGCCGAATAACTTCAAGAAAAGCCTAAGTAAAAAGTATTCCAGAAGCAGTTCCTCTTCCTCTTTGTCCTTCTCGTCTTCAAGTTCCGATACAGGCTGTTCAGATACCGGATCTGATGCCGGCCTGTCTGATTCATCTCCATCACTGAAGAAGCGTCTCCCTGGCGCCACCCACTTGTCACCCAAACTGAAATATAAACCAGGAGAAAAAGCACCAGGAGCCCACGCTTCAGGTGCGAAACCCAAGGTTGGTGATGACACTGAAGAATCGGAAGACACTGTGACAGATGTCACTCCTTTATCGACCCCGGACATCAGCCCGGTTCAGTCTTTCGAACTGGGTGCCTCAAGCGACCGAAAAGTGAAAGTTAAAAGGCAAGAAAATGTGAGGCAAGAAGTATATGAAAATGTTGAGGATCTGAAAAATAACTCAAAATCTTTGAAATCAGCCAAAAAAGGGAAGGAAAAACATGAACCCAGTCTCACCTCAAAGTCAACAGCGTTGGATTTCAGTTTGGACCACAGATACAAACAAAAAGTCTTACATGACACAATGGACCTGAATCATCTTTTAAAAGGTAATTTTAAACACTGTGTCTGGAATTTTATTTATTTTTTAAATCACTACATCTAGAGATAGGGCCTTTGTTTATTTTCTAATTTATTTTTGGCTGCACAGACTTACTCTAGTTGTGGCAAGTGGGGGGCTACCCTCTAGTGGGGGTGCACAGGCTTCTTATTTTGGTGGCTTCTCGTTGCAGAGCACTGGATCTAGGTGCATGGGCTTCAGTAGTTGCAGCACATGGGCCCAGTAGTTGTGGAATATGGGCTTAGTTACTCCACGGCATGTGGAGTCCACCCAGACCAGGGATCGAAACCCTGTCCCCTACATTGGCAGGAGGATTCCTATCCACTCTACCCCCAGGAACGTCCTGTGTATTGAATTTAAATATTAAGCCTAATATTATATTGAGCTTAAATATTAAACGCTGTGAATTTGCCTTGATTTTTCTAGTAGGTGTGTTTTGTTGTTTGAGATCATGGATATATTATTATAATTTAACCAAATTATTTCATTTAAAGATATCTGGAATATCATTATTTATATTACTACAAAACTAATCAACTGGGACTAGAAACTGCTTCATAGTGATTCTTAGAAACTCAAAATGCCTGGAGACCAGATAAAATAAATGCAAGAAGGGGAGCCAGATGTTTTCCTATGTGTGATGGAGACACGGTTGTAAGATATATTTCACTTTCTTTGAGAAAGAAAGCCAGAGCACCAAGTTTAAGGGAAGGTGGCATGAAGGCTAACAAATTAAGAGAACTCAGAGTAAAGTGTAGGAGACAATTCTGATTTTAAGTTAAAGGCTAGACAGAATTACTGGAAAATAATTACCAAGTTGGTGAAATAGCATGATTTAACTTTTAGTTACTTCTAAGATAGAAGGATTTAAGTATTAAGATAATCCTGACTACTGTATTTCTGTCTCAATTTATTTATACCCATTATTTAGTTTGAAAGGAACAATATATTCCAGGTGAAGTAAAAGCAACCTCACACTTCATCTTTGACTAGTTAATATAAAACTAAAAATATTGAGCTTGCAGGTTAGGTTTTAGGGCAATTGAAGATAAAGTTTTTTAAGTTGTAAATAGGACTCTCTTGTCTTGATTTAAAATGTGAGTTGAAAGAATAAATCTTCAGCTACATAATTTACATAGGGTGGTGATAGAAGGGCATAAGTAAGTCCCTTATTTAGTCAAATGAGTCTCATAGATTGATAAAATGTATTTTGGAGCAACTTACACTTGTGAATGTCCCCTCTTTTATAGGTTTTCTTTGATTGTTACTCATTGATTGTTTAATTATTTAAAATATTAATAGTATAAGGAATGTTGGTCTTTTATTGGACTGGAATCTGGAGATCCAGAGTCGATGATGAGAGAGTGAAAGAAGCAAAGAGGCTAATATTCCCTGGGTTATGCAGCCAGCTTTCGCGCTCTGGGGATTCAGCCAGAAATATATATATATATATATATATAGAGAGAGAGAGAGAGAGAGAGAGAGAAAGAAAGAAAGAAAGAAAGACACGGGGACCCAAGCTCTGATGGAGCAAAGGTGTTTTAATCAACATGGTATGGGCATACATACTGTCTCACAAGGTACTTACTCTCAGCAAAGATAAAGATTAAAATTCCAGACTTACAAAACATAAGTCGACCCTTACTACAGCGTGGTTCATAAAAAGGAAAAGGGTCCTTACCACCGTATTGAAAAACTAACGAATGACATGCCTGGATTCCTCAGCCCTGGGAAAGGCGTGCCTCTCCTCTTAATTCCTGAATATTTAGGAATTAATAAGGACAATGGGTTCCTGACAGATCCAAACAGCTCACAGGAAGCCTCCTGTTAAATGCTTCCTGACAAAGAAAGAATACTCCTGAAGTAAACTCTTGAAAAAGATTTGCCAGGCTGGTAAGAAAGAGAAAATAAAGTATCAATCTTGTTAGTACACAAAGTAGAATTCAAAATCAGATTCTTGGCATTGCCTGTTACTATCTAGTGGCTAAGTCTCCATTCAGCATTCCTTTCCTGATAAATGCTCATTCAATCTCTTAAAACTTTCAAGACTGAGTTTTCTATTCTTGCCCATCTGCTTCTTCCCTTAACAACGGGAATGATCTTTAAAAAAGTAGATCAGACCTACTAGTTTCCTTCTAAACTCTTCAGTGGGCTTACTCTTAGGTTAAAAATAAATACCAAATTTCTTACCATAGGCTAACAGACTATTTGTTCCGTGACTCTTTATCCCAGGAAGTACGTGAGCATCTCTTGGAGAACTACTCAAATTGTTAAAACAAACTGTTAGGTACTGATGCTTGGGCTCTGCCATGGAGAGCCTGGTGCCGTTGTCTCATCTGCTGTTAAAGTTGATGAATCGTGGCTTGCCATCATCTGTTTACTGCTTCATCTCCTCTTTCTCTCATTACCTCTCAGTCCAGTCACAGTACTTCCTTACTGTCCACAGAATGTTAATACTTTGCACTCATCGGTATTTGCACTTGAGGTTGGCCTCTCTCTCTGTAGAGGCTCCTTCCGTCTATTGCTCGGCCCTCAGCTTATCCATCACCTTCTCGGAAATACTCTTCGAACGTTCTGTGCAGAAGTTTCACACCTGCCCCTGCCTCACGGTCACAAAAGCCCATTTCCTTTCAGGAGACTGGAGTTAGTGTAAGCAACATGAGTGCAGGATCTTGTTCCTTGCTGGAATCCCCGCATTAGACACTATTTGTTACCTAAAGGACTGTGGGACTCTTCTGTCCACAGCGCTAACGGTCAGGAAGTATGCATCTTAAGTTTCACTGAAATTGGATTTTATAAAAGTTACCCACTAGTCTTAGGTTTGCCATCTGAAATACATACGGGAAGTCTTTGCCTTCTGCTTCTGCCTTATAATCTTATCCTGTTTTGACTTGGAAACAGAGCTAAAATGTGGCTCAGTCTCTAGGCACATGGACTAGAGCTTTATCCAATCTGCTGCCCCCTGGGGAGCCCTGATCCCAGGACCTGCCCATACAGTACATGGTGCTCAGGGCAATACAGGCCCAGGAACAAAGTGGCATTTTTGCCCATTGATGCATCTGTTATTGGAGTCACCAATATAACCCACCAAAGATTCTGTATAGCAGTAGAGTGTGTTTTAAATACTAATTATGGCGATCAGTCTATACATATGGTGTTTCTTGAGGTTTCTCAAATTATTATTCCTGCTGAATTTGCCCAGTGAAGCTTTCAGATCCAAGAATATTTTTGTTTTTTTTTTTCATCTTCCCCATAGACCTAAGCCATGGACGTGTGAGATGTGGTGTGTGCGCAGCCAAGCTGTGTCGCTCTGGCTGTCTTCTATGAAGGCAGGCGGTAAAAGATTGCAGAAGTGTTTGCTTCTCTCCTCACTGATTTTTTATTTTTATAAAAATGTGATATTTACATAGCACTGGTTTAGTATTTTCAGACGAATTAACAGATATCTTTCATTTTTTTACCATTAATTTCTAACATGGTAAATATTGATAGATAATACCCACGTAAGCATTATTTGGGGTCCTTAGTAAATTTTTGGTATGAGGTCTGTTTAAGAACTTCTATTTTTGAAGAATGGATTAATAGTCTATTAGAGAAAAAATAAATTACCATAGTCAGTCTTCCAAAAGGGGGGAAATGAGGGAAAAAAAACAAACAAAGCATTTTTTTGAAGATATAAAATTGTGAGAAGAGATCCAACAATATAAGTAAATTGTTTTGACTTATCAGAAGGTATTATCAGAGGGGATAAATTTTTTTAACCAAATCCAACCTGTAAAGATGTTTAAAATATCAATAGTATAGGAAGAATGAAAATAAAGGCTTGGAAAAGTTATGCCAGGCAGGTAACAAGGAGAAAATAGAAATATCAATCTTATAAGTACACAAAATAGAACTTGAGATGTGAAAATCACTGAAAGGGACAAAGGAGAGTATTTTACATGAACAGACTGACCAAGTACACTAAAAAGATTTAACAGCCATTGATTTGAAGTGTTTGATAAAAGCAAAACAGAGCCAGATGATGAAATTGACAAAGCTGTAATCACTGTGGAAGATTGGTAGATGTTAGACAAAAAAAAAAAAGTATGAACTACCCACTTATGGGCTGCACTAGGCCCATGGGTTTTTTTGTTTGTTTGTTTTTTTGGTCTATTACATAATGTATTGTTTTTAAGTGATGAGATACCAGTTTCTATTGCTACATAGCAAATTACCCCAGTACTTAGGGTATAGTCATAGTTGCTCAGTCATGTCCAACTCTTTGTGATCCCATGGGCTAATGTGGCCACCAGGCTCCTCCGTGCAATTCTCGAGGCAAGAGTAGTGGAGTGGGTAGCCATTCCCTTTTCCAGGGGATCCTCCTGACCCAGGGATCGAACCCTGGTCTCCCACATTGGAGGCAGATTCTTTACCATCTGAGCCACCAGGGGAGCCCCTTAGAGTATAGAGAGAGACTCAAAGGTCGGGGCGACTTGACAGGTGGGGCCTGGAATCATCTGAGTGCCGGTGTACTCACACATCCAGTGTCTGGGCTGGGGGTGGCTTGGGGACGAGGACTGCTGGGCAGGGGGCTCGTGCGTGGCCTCTCCCTGTGGTCTGGCTATTTCACGTACCGCAGCCTCAGTGCAGATGGTTCAGAGCCCCAAAGACAGTTCCAGGAAACCAGGCACAGACCTCATCACCTTTTATGACCTAGCATCGGAAGCCACATGGCATCATTTCTTCCACGTTCTATTGGTTATAAACCTTCCCAGGTTTAAGAGCAGGGGCATAGACCCTCCTTCTTAATGGGAGGAGTGTCAAATAACACAGACACTCTGCAAAACTTCTTCAGGCCACCCTCTGGCGGTACATTGATTTACATTCCTCCCAAATGCAAAACTCTGTTCCCCCTTTTCAAAGATCCCTCCCACCTGGTGATCCAGGGTTAAATCAAGTCCCAAGGGCCAGCTGTGGCTCTTTGGGTTTGGTTCCTCAATTATAGCTCGAGTACTTTGAGAATCTTATGCCAGGGGAGAGTAGGAAATCGAAGTAGTAGTAATTTTGAACCCCAAAAGTCCCAATATAGATATTCTCTATAAATTCTGCTTGAAAACTGACCGATTCCTTTTGTAGTTCATCTGTTTTCTATCCTGTCTTCTTATGGTGGTAAAATAAACTATTGATACTTTAAAGATTCTGCCTGGAGATCTGCTTAGCAAAAGCCACCAATGGCAGAAGGTATGTTTTCCATTTTTCTTGTTGTCATAGCCAACAGTGTTGCTAAAATTCTGCCGCTTGATCATCTTCACCGGCAGTCTCCTCCAACCCTTTCTAGCCCTACTTACTATCTGGTCTCAAAGCTAGTGCTCCAGATGTTGGGTTTTTGTTGCAGAAGCACCCAACTCCTGGCACTGTTTTGTGTGTTAGTTCCTGTTGCTCTGATGACAGATCACAATCTTAGATGGGTAAAGTGGCAGCCCAGGATGGCCTGAAGGCTGGGGTCACAGTACCCACGCCACACACAGCCCCCCTCTATGTGGTCTTGATGTCCTCACAGGGTAGTCAGCCTCACAGCCTCAGGGCAGCCAGACAAGGGTGGCCCAGGCCCCAAGCACAAGGGTTCCAGAGACACGGGGCGGGGGCGGGGGGGTGCCTACATCTGTCTCTATTTTTGCCCAGCCTTGGGCTGTATCGTGTTGGTCCATGCCATCACAGACCTGCCCAGATGCAAAGGGAGGAGACCGGAAGAATGTCTCAGAAGTTCTCATCTGACAAGATGTTCATAAAGAAACTTAGTAAATTTAATTATTCCTTGAATCATCACCTCTCAGTTACAAGAGTTGGAATTTAAAAAAAAAACAAACTTTGAAACATCATTTTAAAAAGCAAATATCATTGGTTTTTTTAATCAGGATTGTGAATATGCCTACAGGGTGGATTTTTTTAAAGAAAAACTAATATTATGTAAATAAGGACATAATATGGCTTGGGATAAATTTTCCATTAATAGTATTCACATGAAAATTTGAAATGCTGTCTGTATCACAGTTTAGGTGCAAGTTAAGCTGGTACTTCTAGTAAATGATGTTACTGAGTCAAGAAGTGGCTCTAGTGATAATGGACATATTGAAATACTGTAAACAGTGTGAACAAAATTGTTTCATTAAAGAAAATTAGGGAAAAGCAGTATTTCTTAAATGTGTAATTTAAATAATGGACATATTTATATTAACATATTTTTATCCCTGAAATTTTATTCAAATTAGATCTTAATTGGAAAGACAGTGGATTATATATTGGAGGTTGCCTCATACTAAAGCATGTAGTAGCCACTTTAGAATGTGCTAGTGATACCTGGCATCAGTATGTAAGCACTCAACATGTACTTTTCCCATCAAGGGGGGGTTAGAAGGCTGTTTTGTTTTGTTTTTTTAAAATGAATTAGTTTGAAATTCTTCCTTTATTTTATTTTTAGCTGTTGCCTTATTTTACTTTTAAAAGCTTTTTGTAAATGACATTAGGAAAATAGCTTACTTTTAATTCCCTCTAGAATTTAATTTTAAAGGCTAAATTAATCTAGAAACCTTATTCAATTCTACAAAATGGTTATTTCTTGGAAGCAAGATAATTCAATTATATATAGTCCATATATATCTCTTTCTAAATGTGTTCCTATTCAGGTTTCGTCGTTAGTTTGGTGTGGTTTTCAACAAATTACCAGCCATTAATTTCCTAATTTTTCCTATCAGGAAGTCACTGTTAATAATTTTTTTTTAAGTTTCCTTAATCTCTGATCATCTTTGGTTTAAGCATGGAGATGTAGATTTACAGTTTTGTGACCTTGCTCAAAGGATTTAACTTTTCTGCACCGGTCACATTTTTAAATGGGGTTAAAAATGCTTTTAACAGCATAAAATACTAATCGAGTAAAAGAGTGTACATAAAGCTGGTGGTGGTTCAGTCGCTAAATGTGTCTGACTCTCTGCAGTTCCGGGGACTGCAGCATGCCAGGCTTCTCTGACCTTCACTGTCTCCCAGAGTTTGCTCAGATTCATGTGCATTGAGCCCATGATGCTATCTTAACTATCTCATGCTCTGTCGTCCTCTCCTTTTGCCTTCAATCTTTCCCATCATCAGGGTCTTTTCCAATGAGGAGGGAATGGCAAACTGCACCAGTATTCTTGCCATGAGAACCCCATGAACATAAAGGTACTCTGATATAATGAAAGCGAATAATGGGGGACTTCCAGTGGCTAAGACTCCACACTTCCAGTGCAGGGGGCCTGGGTTCAATCCTTGGTCAGGGAACTAGATCCTGTATGCCTCAACTAAGACCCAGTGCAGCCAAATAAATGATTAATTTAAAACAAATAATGGTTACTTTAAAAAGATATTGTTAAAACAAATGTACCATACTGTTAATCTGATGTAATACATTCATTTTTAGCAGAAACTTAAGGTGAAACAAGCTTGATATGTTTAGAAATTTCTGATAACTGTTCAGTAATAATTGTGACTTGGTGTAAATTGTTCTAATAATATGAAATATTGAGAATTTAGCATGTTGATAAAAATTTCATTTGATAATCATAGTATACAAAATATTTTTCTTGGTTAAAAGCTCCTTTTTTATAAGGTATTCATTTGGCTTATCTAGTCAGGAATAAAAGTTTGACTTTTATAGTAGAAGTATTTGTTACAATGCCAATATCAAGACCATAAATCTTGCATAGTAAAATCCTTTCGGGTTAAGTTGAAAGTTTCAGAATATTCTAGCTTTGCTTTTGCCATTTTTCTGGCCATTGTATGCATTGCTTGAGAACATTTTAGTTTTTGAATTATGTGTGTGGGTGTTCTCAGTCGTTCAATTGTATCCAATTCTTTGCTACCCCATGGACCGTAGCTAGCCAGGTTTCTCTGTCCATTGCATTTTCCAGGCAAGAAGACTGGAGTGGGTTGCCATTTCCTACTCCAGGGGATTTTCCCCACCCAGGGTTCGAACCCACATCTCCTGCATTGCAGATGGATTCTTTTGCGCCACTTGGGATGCCTTTCTGACTAATAAAAACCATCTCAACTGATCATTGTGTCAATGCAATCTGCCAGAGGTTTCTAACTTTTAAGTTTCCTTTAGGAGAACATATAATGAACACAACAAAAGCATTTCCCATAAATTATACCTGCAGTCTACAACCAGTAGACTTATTAAAATATTTTCATGGTTTTGTGTATAGCATTTATTCCCAATGAACCCAATGAGCATAAACCTCTAAGCTGCCTCTGAATTTTTTTCCTACCCAGTTTTAGTCTGTATGTCGTTGAAATTATTCCATATACCCCTTATCATGAGTTAATGTAGTTCTGTTTATAAAAGTTAAAGCATGTAACATTATGCCATCATATTGCTGTTTATTTAGCCATTTTTCCTTTTTTTGTTCACTTTTTTGTTGTTCACTTCTGTAGCTTTTCTGCAATTAGATAAAAAGGGACCACAAAAACATCACTTTGATCAGCCTTCAGTAGCACCTAGAAAAAACTACTCTTTCACAAGAGAGGAAGTGAGACAGATTGATCGGGAAAATCAGAGGCTTTTGAAAGAACTGTCGAGACAGGCTGAGAAGCCAGGAAGCAAGAGTATGATTCCAAGAAGATCGACTGGTCCTCCCCCTAAGTTGTATCATAGTGCTCTCAACAGACAGAGGGAACAACAAAGGATTGAAAGAGAAAATTTGGTAAGTGACTGAAACATTTTAGTCATCAAATAAAGTGCATTTGTACTGATTTGTAAGCCCAACTTTCAGCAAACCCAGTACAGCCAAATTTTCTAAATGATATAAAAGTAGGAGTAAGTTTGTATGGCATAAAATACAGGATGAACCATGAGCCTGGAAAGTAACAATATGTGCTTTTTTTATCCAGGAAACTATATTTTAAGGGAGTATTAAATGAAAATACTGCAAGGTCTATTATCTATTTGACTAGATCTGTTAAATTACTATAGTAATACAGGAAATGGTGTCCAAGGATTAGATACATACATCTTCTGCAAAGTATTCAGTCACTAGCTAAATCTATTTTACTTCATTTTATCCTCAAAAGCTAAAATAATTTATATATTATTTATTTTAAATAATACACACTTTTTCAGAGAGGTCAGATTTGGTGCCCTGCTGCTTGAATGTATGAAAGACATTGATTTATTAAAAATCATACAGCAATAGTCCTTTGATATCCTAAGAAATATATATATGGAAACTGTTGAAAATCTTCACATTAAAAACTACTATTCATAGCATATCATTTTCTTTATAAAATATAATTCATAATTGTTGATATTTACAGAGCTCTTTAATGCTGGGCATTATTCCAAATGTCTTCTAAATATTAGCGTATTGAATCCAGACAATAATTCTTTCAGGGACGTACTTTATGTATATCCACATCTTACAGGTGGAATAATTGAGACCTAAAAGGGTTAAATAATTAACCCATGGACAAAGAGCTGCTAAGCAAGTGACTGAGCCAAGATTTTAAACGCAGGTAGCATCTTCAACTAAAGTTAGACCTTTAATGAACACATACATTCAGAGTTAAAATAAGTGATAAAGCTGTTATTGGAATTACTAGAACGGTTCCCCAAATTCACCCTTATTATGTTTCATCATCACTACAGTTCTACTTAACCTGAATTTGCAAGAGTAACTCTTATGAATTTCTTTATTACCATCACTAACACCAAGAGTTGGTGAGCTAGGGTAGTATATTTGCAAAAAATAATAAAATATTGGTCAAGAGAGTTACCCTGAATATGGCAGGGGGTAGATTACAGCAGAACAAGTTGAAATGAGGGTGATGGGTAGTGAACTACATGCTAACTTTCTACACATCACTCTAGCAAGTTCAGGATTCATTTATATTTTATGAAAATGGTTAAACAGCTAGAGCAGGTGGTAGAATCATAACCAGGTTTCCTCGCTTTGGGATTACTTTTTTCTTTTTAACATCTTTTTTGAGGTATAATTTACGTGCCATACCCATTTCAAGTGTACAGTGGGTTCTGATAAATTACATGATTCTTTTTTTTAAGTTAGAGTAATATATAAAAGTAACAAAATTTGCCATTTTAAGTTTTTAAAATTTTCAGTGTCTTTGTTATTATTTTGATATGCACATACTGCTATGTATTTTTTAATTTACTCCTGGCGGGGCTGTGTCTTTGTTGCTGCCTGCGG